TCCGGGGGGCGCTGTAAGTCCCCTAGGAAAATTTTTAAATTTGAACAATTCTTTGGAGAATTTTGAAGCTATATGCAGTTATATTGAGGAAAGTAGAACATTGAGAAAGTTTTAATTAACTGTGTATTTATTGATAGTGTACAAATTCCCAACACACACACACACACACAAAAGTGAGACATGACTGGAGTCATTCATGTGGTTTCAAGTCGACCAGCCCTGATATAGCTACTACCGCACATGTGGAGGCCCCCAGATTGTGGAGGCCCCTGGGCAGCTGCCCACTTTGCCCACTCCTGAATCCGGCCCTGTTTAAATGGACTTTAATGTTGGTATGAAGTGCTGCACTCCTAGCCTTGTACGTCAGCACGCCAACTCGGATACTGTCAGCAATGGCCTCTGCGCTGTTCCTCCCGGGTCCATTACCAAATATCTGTGCAGGTTAGGAAGATACTTGATATACTGTGAAGTTTTTGAGAAGGCGCCAATTTTCCACCTGTGCCGTGTGTATATACAAGACCCCAAATTTGACATCCAGTGTCTACACTCCCGCATTTGTTTCGGCCGGCAATCCGGCACTTCTATAACACGTAAAATTATGTTAATGTTGCGCTGCACTTTCTTAATGCCGAATAATTATCAGTGTAAATATTTGTAAATAGACATCTTTTGTTACAACTATCCATATTATTCAATATCCTTAGTGAAAGCGAAAGTGTTCCACCTGACAGTAATCATTAAAAGAACTAGAGGGCGTTTATATCTAAGCCCTCGACAAATGGCGCAGTGAGTAGGATACTGTCGGAACTCTTTTCACATCACCAAGTGACACTTCATTAAACTACTGTATTATTGATGTTAGAATTTGTCCTAGGATTGAGTTTATTTGACACGGGATGCAAGCAGAGTGACCAATGACCAGCCATACTTCATGATCGTGAGTGATTGCCTGTTCGTATCGAAGTAGTGAGATGGGTGTTTTATTTTGGTCCAAGTCGTTGGGCAGACTAAAGTGTGACTGAGCCTTCACATTTGGTGAGCGACCCATTTGTGTTTGCGTCTCACTGAAAAGTTGTTCGCGTTTATGTCGAAGCTGTCCGTGTTATGATGTATTTTGTCACATTGCTGTGTTCACATTATTTTGGTAGGTTCAGTGCAAGTGTTGTTACACTAATTAGCACAGTTAGATCAGTTGTAGGTTGTATCGCGACTGGGTTCCTTGGTGGATGCAGTCAGTGCTTCGTTCACCGGTTCGTGAGTGTTAGTTTACACGCTCAACGATCATACATTTTCGTTCGAAAGCTTAATGTTTCATATTCTTTGAGTTACAATATTATGATTTATTATCATGGCTACCGTTAATATAGTTGAGATTCTTAAACTAGGAAAGGAAGCTGGTCTATCTACTGAAAGTATTAACTCGCTTATAGAGAAAGAGTAACGTAAATATGTGTCATGGTTTTGGGTGGATCAGTGGTAGTAGGAGTGGATTATATTATATAAAGATAATAATATGTCGTATTTCTTATTTCTTACCGTAGAATTCGATACCTTCACACTGATTACTTACAGGAGATTATGGCGTATCTACGTAGAAGTTCACTCCACCACTCGACATTCCATGATTTATACTTCATAAATGATGATTTAATCAATTCATTTAATTTTCAACATCCATCTAAGTTATTGGTTATATTTTGTCATAACCAATCAGTCATTACCTTTAGTAATAATAAGATAGGATCACAGATACGAGCAGATAATTGCACTTGCATTTATTTGTCAAGCTTCCATACAATGATTTACAATTTGCATGGATATATGATTCACTCACGTTCACGCTGTAATAAAATTAATCTTCTAAAACAGGGAATTTCCAACTTGGGGACACATGTGATTACTCTACTGTGGGTATGACTTAACAGAGCCTTAATTCTTCAAGTGATACATTTACTGCCAGCCTGGATTGCTTTGTTACAACCAGGCTTCATCACAAGAACTTCTTTCCACGGCCATAACAACAAAAAGTACTCTTGGGTTACCACACATAGTCTCGCGTCACTGACAGTCACTGTAGACGGGTGTCGTGCAGGAGAACTCGGTAAGCGTGAATTAATTAACCATTTACTGTAGGTTTGATAGGCCAGCCCGGATTGCTCTTGTCGCAACCAGGCATCCACATGTGATATTTCCACGGGGATAACAACCTAGGTTAACACGCTTAGTCTTGTGTCGACGACGGTTCACAGGACGGAGTGGCGGTGGAGGACTCTGTGTGGTGTGGTGTCCCGCCCCCTTTCAGGAGGGAGAGGATGGAGACGACGTCTTAACTAACCCATGGCTGAGGGGATACTACTTAAAATGAGGTTTTTGGGTGAGAAGCGATGAACAGTACAACACTGTTTCACTGCCCACCCCTCCCTAAAGGCTGGCTAACATACACTAATTGAAAAATACATGTCCCAGTTATGCCTCGCTGGGCGTCTTATCTCTAGTAAAACAAACTTTGGCGTTGGTTGCGTGGGTAAGCCTAACGCAACCCATGACAATATGCACAGGCAGTTAAGAGATGAACGTCAAAAGGAGAGAGAGTTTGAAGAGGCAGAAAAACAAAGGAATCACGAATTAGCTATTACTCAGATTCGCTCAGATTCTAGTAAAGATAATGAGGATACAGACATGAAAGGTTGTTTTACAGATCTTCGCTTGCCTACATTTACAGAAGGTCAAGATGAAATAGATTCTTATCTCCTAAGATTCGAAAGACTCGCAGAGCTTCATGGTTGGCAGAAGAAAGATTATCATGTATATTTTGGTTCATCATTGAAAGATAAAGCATTGAAGATTTGTTAGCCTCTCTCATGAAGTTGTTGAGGACAGCAATCAGCTAAAGGAGGCATTATTGCAGGCGTATTTAATTGATGTCGAGTCATACCGACGTAAGTTTAGAGACGCAAAGACAATGAACATTATGTTTAGTTAGTGTCTAGACTAGAACAATACCTAGACAGACGGGTTTCACTTAATAACACAAATAAAACCTTCGAAGATTTCTGTGATTTCATGGTTAGCGATCAAATTTTAAGTATTTGTCATCCAGATCTAAGAATATCCTTAAGGAAAGGCCTTTTGCCAGTTCATTTCAGATGCCTCAAGCTGCTGATAGATATAGATCGGCTCATAAATATTCAAAGCCAAGAAGAGTAACTAAAGAAAAAATTATACCGCTTCCTGAGACTAAATGTAACAAAAGCTCTTTTAGAAGGTCAAATGTAGTCTGTCAAGACTGTCATAATCCAGGACATATAAAACCTGGCTCTCCTGTGCTACATAGGCAGCTTAAAAGCAAAGTAAACGAGGAGAGTAAAATTAAGAAAAATTTTGTTCTTGATAACTTTCTAGCTGACTTGGATGGGTTAGTATTCAATAAAAAGGCTGCCGTTGTGCTAGATACTGGATGTTCCACAATTTTGATTAAAAACGAACTTGTTCCAGTTAATCACAAGAGAGGTAGGTTGAGTAAACTGTATGATTACCTTGGTGTGGCAGGCTAGTTCCCTGAAGTAAGATGTTTTATTTAGAGGTAACTGCTATAGCTGCACCCAATAAAGTTTGCTGATGTTCTTCTTGGTATGGTTCCTGGAGTTGAGGTTCCGTCGGTTAACTTAGTGGACGAGAAGATCACAATTTGGAGAGAATTCAGGTCAGACTGAGACTGGAACTATTTCAAGCGACAGTGTGTTAAAAGTAGAGACCAGGGGATCTAAGCAGAAGAAAACATTAGGTTTAACAGATTTATTGACACCAACTCTGGATGGTTTGGATATTAGTAAACATAATCTGATTACTGCTCAGAATGAATGTCCGACCCTTGCTTCTATTAGAAATAAAGTCCTAAAAAGACATTAATGGTTAAGAGTAAAACTGTTAGGTATGAGATAATTAATGGCTTCATTTACAGAACTTGCCTTCGTAGCAAAAATAATTTTGATGTTGGTAAGAAACAACTTGGTGTACCAGAGAAACTCAGAAGTTGTGGTCTTTTTATTGCCCATGATTCAGCTGTAGCAGGTAATTTTTCACACAGAAAAACTTCGGATAAAGGTTTTAGAAAATTCTTCTGGCCTGGTGCAGGAGAAGATATCAAGAGATATTGTAGATTATGCCAGAATTGTCAAAAGGTTTTATAAGAAATGTACCCATGGTGTCAATGCCCATCCTAACTGAACCCTTTTCCAGAGTTGTCATAGACTTAGTAGGACCCATAACTTCGTGTTCTAATAAAAAAGAATATGTATATACTCGCCTTCATTGATTGTTCAACCCGTTTTCTTTAAGTGGTTCCCTTAAAGAATATAGATACTGCTGCCATTGCTGAGAATCTCGTTATAATATTTTCAAAAGTTGGCATCCCACGTGAAATTTTGTCTGAGAGAGGTGCTCAATTCACCTCAGATTTGATGAGTGATGTTAATCGCTTGTTATCAGTTAAAGCTTTAACTAAAACACCTTGTCATGCTCGTTGCAAAGGGACTGTAGAGAGGTTTCTTAGCGTCCTTAAGGCCATGTTGAAGAAGCTCTGCATAGAAAGACCACAAGATTGGGACATGATACTTTGCAGTTTTCCCCATTTAATTTACTTTATGGACGTTAGGTTCACGGTCCTGTTATTTTACATGACTTGCGGACAAAGGAAGATTTGGCAGAGGAACTGACAATAACTTACCAGTATGTCCTTGATTTGAGATCACGATTGGAGGATTCTATGAGATTAGCAACTGCAAATGCAGAGTTTATCAGCAAACAGTACAAGAAATATTTTGACAAATACTAGAGAGCATAAGTTGAAGGTAGGATATGAGGCTCAAATTCTACTCCCTTCTTCTCACAACAAATTGACGAAGCAGTGGAAAGGTCCATACCCAGTTACAAAATGTCATGATAACTGTGTTGATAATTGGATCAAAGTAGAGAACCAAGTTAAGCTCTTCCATATTAATATGTTGAAGAAGTATGTCAGACGGGTGGAGGATGATCACCCTACAACGGAAAAGTGTTATCTGTGTATTGTAGATGATGTAGGGACCAAGCTGAGATCTGTTTGTGACATTGAGCTCATTGGTGAATCTTTTGACTTTTATTTGAATGTAAATCCGGAGTTAAGTGAGGAAAAGGTAGTTGAGTTAACTAAACTAATGACTGAATTTACTGATGTTTTCTCAGATGTTCCAGGCAAAACACAAACTGTCATTCATGATATTAAGTTAACTACTGACATGCCTATACACAAGAAGCCATATCATATCCTTCATAATTTTTTTAAAGCTTTTGATGAAGAAGTAGACAGAATGTTAGAATTAGGTGTAATAGAACCATCTTACTCTCACTATTGTTCGCCAGTTGTTCTTATTGAAAGGGCAGAGAAAAGCTTCTGAGTTTGCATACATTTTAGAGGTCTAACTGATGTGACTGATGTCTATCACCGAGATAGACATGTGTAAAGGTTACTGGCAAGTAAAATTGTCGGAGAACTCTTAAGTATGTACAGCTTTTGCTACTCTTCGTTGTTTGATGCAGTTTCGGCGTATACCCTTTGGATTAAAAATTGCTTGTGCTACCTTCATAAGACTGATGAGAAAGGTGTTTTTCGGAGTGAAGAATACTGAATTTTATTTTGACATTGTATTAGTTTATAGTTAAAATTAGAAGGAACACTTGCAAGATCTCAAGAGTTATGTGAGAGGTTACGGAAACATGGATTGACCGCTGGTCCCAAGAAGTGTTTCTTTGCTTATTCAGAAATTTATTATTTGGGATTTTCCCTTGGGAACAATCAACTCTCCCTGCAAGAGGATAAAATAAATGTTGTAATCAATATGCCTCTACCAAGCCGCAAGAAGCAGCTTAGATCATTCCTGGGTTCAGTATCATTCTGAAGAAAATATATTCCAAATTATGCAGATATAGTAGCACCAATGAATAGTGTGCGAAAGAAATATAATAATAATGTACTAGAGTGGAGCACAGAACAGATTGATAGTTTTAATGTTTTAAAGGACAAACTGTCAGATAACCAATTTTATCTTTGCCTGATTTTACTAAAGATTTCTACCTCAGAACAGCTGCCTCAGATATAGGTTTAGGTGCTGTATTACTACAGATGATTGAAGGAATTCTTATGCCAGTGTCATACGGCAGCAAGTCTCCTCTGGACCGGGAAAAGAGGTATGCCGTAATAGAGAGAGAATGTCTCAGCATTGTCTGGACAATTGATAAGTATAAAAACTACTTGTATGAAAGAGAATTTGTCCTTCAGACTGATCAACAACCTCTAACATATTTGAGAAACATGAAAAATACAATGGTAAGCTGATGAGGGCGGGGGGGATTTAGCTTTCCAAGATTACTCCTTCAGAATTGAGTATATAAAAGGCAATGATAACTTTGGTGTTGATTTTCTAAGTCGATATTCATTACTTTCCTAGGACAAGCCACATTGAACTGCAATTTTCTCAAATTCCTAAGATTTTTGCTATTTTGGGGAGCATTGTAAGGGGTTTGTATTCCAGTCCAATTATTGTTGGAACTGCGTTGTTCAGTGTTGGCTTTGTTCTCTGTATCTAAAGAAGGTGTTGTTCATGGGTAGTTCGAACCGAGTCATAGTGCGGGGTGTAACCGTATGACTGGTCACTTGGCTCCTTTTCTCTGACCCAGTTGGTTATCTGCTACCTGTCGAGTATTCCATATCATTTATTATCGTTTTTGTTTTGTGGTTCCTATGGTGTTATTTGCGTTTTAAGGGTTCCTTGTGTAATGTTTGTTAATTACTATGTATGTACAACTTAGTGTGTATGAACTGTGCAAATATAATGAATGTTGACAGTTACTACTAAAATAATTAGACACTATTCTGAATGGACTGTATTGTTGCAGCTTTTTATTCATGGTCACGTTGGTTTGAACTTCTGCACTGCTAGCCTTGCTTGTCAGCATGCCAGCTAGGCCACTGTCAGTACTAGCCTCTATGCTGTTCCTCCCAGGTCCATTACCAAGTACCTGTGCCGGTTAGGTAGATACTTGATCTACTGTGAAGTTGTTGAGGAGACACCAATTTACCACCTGTGTCGTGTGTATATACAAGACCCCACGCTTGACATCCAGTGTTTACACTCCCGACATGCGTTCCGGCCGGCAGTCCGGTATTTTCATACATATGTTAAAGTTGCTCTATACTGTCTTCATGCCGATTATCAGTGTAAATACTTGTAAATAGATATCTTTTGTTACACCTATCCGTAATCTTATTCAATATCCTTGGTGAAAGCGAAAGTGTTCCACCTGACAGTAATCCTTTAAAATAAATCAGAGGGCGTTAACATCTAAACCCTCGACATATTGCATGTTTTATTTACTCTATTATTAAGGTATAGTAGATTGCAAATACTTTAAAACCTCCTCTTGTTTACACTACACTATGACCACAATTTAACATGAAGAGTATGAATGTTATCTACATAATATAGTACTTCACCTCGCCATACTGCCATGGTCACAATAGCACAGCTAGTATGTTCAACACTTCAATCAATAGTGCCATAGTTACAATAGCATGGCTAGTCTGTTTAACACTTAATTACTCATATTATGGTCCACCACACACAAAACATGTGTGAAACTGATGCCTTCCCCCTAGAAAAAGACGTGTTTTCTCTAGTGTCTGGTGCCGTCCATTTTCTCTAACCTCCTAAAACCTCTCTATAAAGTAAATTTAAATTTAAGAGATAACGTGTATGAGTAGCCATAAGTCAGATATACCTACCGTGATCCAAAGCATTCAAGGTGTATTAAGTATATGCTAAAAGCATCAATTATATCTTTTCGTAGAGTACACAGGGTTAAGACGATATGTTCTGAGTACCCAATCACGAGCTGCAGTCAGTCTATTATCTCTCATGAACTTACGAAATCATGATTCAGAACTAAAGTCACATCATTTTGATCTGTGAACATCAGAGAATCAGATGTTTATATCGAAATTATTGTCAATTATGTATTTTAGGAACTAATTAATTATCCCGAAGGTAGGTGTCACTCATCTTATCTTTAACATCTAACGGATAGAAATTGATGCATCTGTATTGGATTCCTCCCCTACAAGCACCGAACCTTCTCGAATCCTCCAGCCTACGCCTCCAGCGCCGCCCACGGAGCGGGGGTCAACTATCTACCCACGCCTACCCCCGCCTTATAAGGCCTGACACGGCTGTGATCAGCCTCTTTTCTACCCAGTGCCACCAGCAAGCAACACCTCCTCCGCGCCAGCCGTGCGGCTGCCGCTCCCGCCAGCGACCTTGGCGTCCCTCAAGCCGCGTGCCCTCGCTCTGGGCACCCTCACCACCCAGCTCTCTCTACTCAACGCTTATTACCACGCTACCTACCCAGCAACAAGCTGCATTGTACATCCAATACAATATGTATACAGTGAGCACATTGTGAGTTTCCTTTGTTCATCCCATCCTGAGTGTGAACAAATATCACATACCCCACACATCTCTTTCTGTTCTAGACTCCACCCACAAGGTATTGCCATTCTGAATACTTGAAATCAGTTTATTGTTGACTTTGAAAGCACAGTTATTGCTTAGTTTGAAAAGTTGATCTTAGAGAAGTAAAATAAGTTTGTAGCCTGATTTTCACACGTCAATGTGTAGAGTAACTGAGTTTGTTGATAATCTGAGCAAGTGGAACTCGGGTGTGAGTGCGGGATGAGAAAAGCAAGAGGCTGACTCTCAACATTACTTACGCCCAGACTCCTCTCCGTGACAGGTACTTTCAGAATTTTGTGTCTTCCCCAGTCACATTGAGTGATTTGACTTAATTGTTTTGTTTGAATGTGCCAGTGATCCAGTAAAGTAACTTTGACGTGTTTTAAGTAACGTGTTCTTGCGCCTTCAGCTTTTTGAAACGTTGACATTCTTGTCAACCGACATCACTTACGCCCAGACTCTTCTCCGTGACAGGTGGTTGTGTAGGCCAGGACGACGACAACCCTAATACTGGAGATGGAATACAGCCATTAAGATTGGATAACGTCGTGCAACACGTTGTATGGTGAACTGAGTCACATCAAGTGCAGCCAACTGCGAGGAGGAGGTGGCTAGACAGTGTTTGCTGTCCACCTCGGTACACGACCAGTTCATAGTAGTAGTATGTTTTGAATGAATCCACCACTAAGTAAAGCTACTTCATGGTTGTGTTTATTCATCTGAGTATCCATGTATGTAGTCTCCTCAGTGTTATGGGTGTTTGGAGTGAGCAAGAGTATGATGGCCACCAATTTACTTCTGGGCGAATGTATCAAAGTAGCATACAGAAGCAACTAGTCCTGGTGCTGTTAAAGTATTAGTTTTGGTGCTATTACTAGAGTCCTGTTATAACTCAAGAGCTAAGGTTCTGAGGTAACTTATGTTGATGGTGCTCAAACGTGTTATATGTAACATTATTGCGATGTGTGTTTTGTTAAAGGCCCATTTGTGGGTCGTTTGACCTGTGCCCGGGTGGGCTAATTCCCGTAAAAAAAAAGTAATGGTGAAGTTGGTAAATGTACCTAATTAGGAGTACAAAATAAGTAGAGCCAGGGAATTGATCCTTGTAGTGTGTTTCTGAAAGTAATCACAAATCTAGCTTAGTTTTAATAAACCATTTTTATTATATTTTAGGGGTATCATTCTCCTGCAGTATTTGTCTTCATTCGTCCCCATATCTTTATTCCAGAATTACAGTATACCACGTGTCCCAACCCTAGAGTCATGCTACCACAGGTCAGAGGTTATGGAGTAACTACATGAAGTAAAATAACTAAGACATAGCTAACATATGGAAGTAATAAAGTAAGAAATTGAGAGAAACAAGGTTGAAGAGTTAAGAAGTTAATCCAGAAAATAAATTAAAGCAAACTAGAAAAGAGAAATTCCCTATACCGTGGTTAACAGTGAATTAATCCCCCACCCCCTTACATAGCAAGGCTAGTATGTTCAACACTTAATTATTCATATTATGCTCCACCGTCCACAAAACATGTGTGAAACTAATGAGTTATCCCTAGAGAGATAGACTTGTTTTTCCTAGCAAGAGTTACCATCCGTTTCCTCTTCAACCTCCTGAAATCACTCTTACAAGGTAAATTCAAAATTAAGAGATAACGTGTATGAGATAACCGTAAGTCAGATATACCTACAGTAATAGGGTGTGTCATAGGAGGGAAGATCAGCTAAAACTAATGGCCCATCACTTTTTTGGTTGATTTTAGTGTATATAAACAGAAAATAATTTCAATTTCAATATTTTGCAACCTTTTGCTAGGTAAGTTTTAGCGTGAAATTTATCGAAAATCTAACGTACAGCTGCATTAGTGCATTACAATTAAATAGTGAACATTGCTTTCTGACTTCATTCTTTAACAACCAACTAACAATATTTTTTTCTGTTTCAGATTCTGATGCATTTATAAGTTGATAATATTTGCGATGGCTGCTTGTGTCAGGACGAGGAACCAAAAATCCAGCCATCTCAGTCACTATCTTGGGTCTGGGAGAGAGCTCCTGAAGTCGGAGATGCCTACATTGAGAGATGCTTTGAGATACGGTGTTTTAATCAGGCAAATCAGTGAAAAGAACCAAAGAACTTACACAAACAAAGACATTGCCAGTGATATGACCAAAGCTGTCTTGGCACAGTACACTCTGGCTAACGCTCAGTTCAAGCCTCCAGTCATAACAAGTCAGAAGAAGATTAGTGAGAGACTGCTAGCCAGTTGGGAAAAGGCAAGAGATATCTCTCTTGGGAGAGGAAAACTTGCAGTTAAGGACAGCTTTGCCAAGCAACTGGACCAGTTATTTGACATAATTACTTGCAAGTGCCCAATTGTTCTCTGTCCTGAGTTTGGATGCGATCGTGACTGTAAATCCGAGGCCCACATCTCCTGTATTTGCAAGCGTGAACTGAAGATTCCTGTGATCGAACTGGCATTTGTCAAAGCACAGAGAGAGAAGACTGGCAGTATAGGGGCTCTCATGATTTCTAGCCAAGATATTCCGGAGTCCAAGAGACAGGAGGCTGCCACAGAGAGACAGAAGAGGAGAAGAGTTGCCGAGGAAAAGAGACTTGAGAAGGCCCAGGGTGAGGTAAAAAAGGCCGATGATTGGAGTCAAGCTGATTCAGAGTTT